TTGTGAAAATATATCGGGTTTAAAACAGACAAATCTAATAGTATTGGTCACGGGTTAAACGTAGAGGCGAGATAGCTCAGAGCCACAGATCCAGTGTCCGCATGCTAACACATCACATGTGTGTGACACAATTGGTTAACACAATCTCACATTCAACAAACCCAAAGAATCCTGACAGGAAGTGGCACGGGAACTGAGGAGCCGACCTTCTTCTTCAGTGGCTTTCACCTGCCTTTCAAACAACACGCTGCAAATATTATACGCTGCAAGAACGGGAGACCAGGGGACACTAAAGAGTGACGCACACAGCTGGGAGACCAGGGGACACGAAAGAGTGACGCACTCAGCTGGGAGACCAGGGGACACTAAAGAGTGACGCACACAGCTGGGAGACCAGGGGACACGAAAGAGTGACGCACTCAGCTGGGAGACCAGGGGACACTAAAGAGTGACGCACACAGCTGGGAGACCAGGGGACACGAAAGAGTGACGCACTCAGCTGGGAGACCAGGGGACACTAAAGAGTGACGCACACAGCTGGGAGACCAGGGGACACTAAAGAGTGACGCACACAGCTGGGAGACCAGGGGACACTAAAGAGTGACGCACACAGCTGGGAGACCAGGGGACACTAAAGAGTGACGCACACAGCTGGGAGACCAGGGGACACTAAAGAGTGACGCACACAGCTGGGAGACCAGGGGACACTAAAGAGTGACGCACACAGCTGGGAGACCAGGGGACACTAAAGAGTGACGCACACAGCTGGGAAACCAGGGACTACTAAAGAGTGACGCACACAGCTGGGAGACCAGGGGACACTAAAGAGTGACGCACACAGCTGGGAGACCAGGGGACACTAAAGAGTGACGCACACAGCTGGGAGACCAGGGGACCCTAAAGAGTGACGCACACAGCTGGGAAACCAGGGACTACTAAAGAGTGACGCACACAGCTGGGAGACCAGGGGACACTAAAGAGTGACGCACACAGCTGGGAGACCAGGGGACACTAAAGAGTGACGCACACAGCTGGGACGGTGTCTCTGTTGCAGAGTTATTCGTCTCATAACTGTCAGTGTTTGTCAGTATATCTGAAATGACTATGTTAGCTACGTTAGCTAGCTAGCTTACAGCAGATCTGCAGTCATATCAGAAGGAGTCATGTGACCACTTTGTTCAAATAAGACCATCAAACATTTTAGGGAAGTTTCCAACAACATTATAATCCTGAACGTCACCAAGCGCCCCGTCCCAGGTGTGCGCATCACTCTTTAGTGTCCCCTAGTCTCCCAGCTGTGTGCGTCACTTTTTAGTGTCCCCTGGTCTCCCAGCTGTGCGCATCACTCTTTAGTGTCCCCTAGTCTCCCAGCTGTGTGCGTCACTTTTTAGTGTCCCCTGGTCTCCCAGCTGTGTGCGTCACTTTTTAGTGTCCCCTGGTCTCCAGCTGTGTGCGTCACTCTTTAGTGTCCCCTGGTCTCCCAGCTGTGTGCGTCACTCTTTAGGGTCCCCTGGTCTCCCAGCTGTGTGCGTCGCTCTTTAGTGTCCCCTGGTCTCCCAGCTGTGTGCGTCACTCTTTAGTGTCCCCTGGTCTCCCAGCTGTGTGCGTCACTCTTTAGTGTCCCCAGGTCTCCGTTGTGTCTGAGCTTCTGCAGCGTTTGGCTTCTCCAGCTTTTAGTAAACTCTGCCCATGTCTCCTCAAGTTGCTGAATGTTCTCTAAACGCTGCATGTGTTGTTGCTGGAGATGTTTCTTCATGAGGAACATGTGGGTTTTTATATCTGCATCGTTTCTGAAGCTGCAGCGCGTTTCTCCTGATGGAAATGCTGGCATGCCAGCTTCTTTGTTTCTAAAATTGGACATTTTGCAGCGTTGAGAGTCTTGAGACACTGTTGGGCGATCTGTCCAGCCCTTAGTCTGAAGGCCTCTAGACCTCAGCACAGATCCAGTGTCCTCATACTAACACATCACATGTGTGTGACATTGTTTAACACAATATCAAATTGAACAAACCCAAAGAATCCTGACAGGAAGTGGCTCGGGAACTGAGAAGTTGCTTCAGAAAGTCAGTCGACCTTCTTCAGTGGCTTTCACCCGCCTTTCGTCACACCTACCTCCGGTAATTCACAGTAATATGCATGTGCCGCCAAGTTAAATCAGATTATGAAAGTGGAGGTGCGTCGCAGAGGGAAGTAATCCCCGTCAGAGAGGCATGTGTCACCGAGTCTCCTTCCCCTCGCCTGCTGGAATTGATTTGATGTACGCTCCGCTCCTCTCCACCCTTTCTCCCGGCTCCTCCCTGAGCGCAGGCCGCTCTCAGCCCCGTGTGTTAATGCAATTCAGCAGATAGTGAGCGGAGGGGAAAATCCAATTGGAAATGAATATTCTTTGACTTCACCTGCCTCCTCTCCGGCGGCTCGTCTTCAATATTGTCGCTGTGCATCACGTTGTCAGGAGACCCAGGGGGGGGACTTCAAAGACTCCTGTAAACAAACCCCTCCTGTGAGAAAAGAGGAGAAAGAAAGGCTCAAAGTCGACTTTTTCCTGGCTTTTGTTGGCGTCTATTAACTTTTAATTGCATTGAGTGTCGCGGTGACAGATGTGAGAGCTGTCCTCGTTCAGAGAGATAGCAGGAGGTTAATTAGGCAAACAGGACGAGGCATCAGAGAAATGTTTATTCCCGTGTTCTTAAATCCCTCTGTGCTGCAATCAGTGCCAGGCTCATGTCCCTATGGGCTTGAAAAAAGCAAAGAAATGAGCAGGACTGTTATTTAATTGAAGTGAAAAGTCAATGTTCAGCAGCCGTGTTTCATTGCTCGTATAATGAAATCCATTTACAGAATGTGGTGTTGGTGCTTTTGGAGGTGATTGTTTTTCACACAGTGGTTCGATTAGGAGGTGACAGATCTGTCAGGTTGGGGAAAAATAGGACCCAAATGCAGAAAGAGGACTAAAAAAGGTCAAGTAACAAAAGGCGAGCTTTATTAAAATGCTGAAAACAGGAAAAACAAGAAACTACTTAACATAAACAAAACCGAGGAGCACGACAAGAACAAACTTACAAGCAGCCAGGAACACGGACAAAGACGGGCAGGTAACATGGACTTCAAAGACGATCAGGGAACAAGGACATGAAGAGACGACGAACAGACAAGGAGCACAGGGGAAGACAAGATTAAATACACAGAAGGGTAATCACTAGTGCTGTAGCGACGCGTCGACGACGTCGACGCGTCGACTTCAAAATATCGTCGACGACATATTTCCGCGTCGACGCGTCGCTACACACACGTGGGTCACCCAAAGCAACAAGCAGTTCGCAATCGCACTTCAAACACAATGGAGACTGAAACGGCTACCACCTCCTCCTCACAGGATTGCGCACGAAGCCCCCAAACGAAAACATCTCGCCCTAGGTCTTCAAAAGCATGGGAATATTTTAAAGTTAGTCCAAAACGCAAAGATATTTATATATGTATATCTCACTGAGACTGCTGCATAGCCTAGCAGAAGCAGCAGCTAGCTGTGGTGGCTACCATTAGCAGCTAGCATTTGCTCTCCGATTTTTTACATACAATGGAATTATGGATTATAAATTCAATCATTTTTGTATACATAGACGTTAAAAACCTATGGATTAACCGATTCAGCCGCGTTTTTTCTCATTTTATTGCCATTGAACACGTCTTTTGATCAGATTACGGTGGTGAGACGATCTCCCTAGAAGCTCTGTGAAGGTACGTGTTGTGATGACTGTATTTGCTTCCCCTGTCGCGAGTCCGGATCACTCAGTGATGATACTATATACCTACATAATCTGTGGAGTCTCAGCTTTAATCGGATATATTGTATGTGCAGCTACGATAAGTAATAAGGGTACTTTTATCTTGAGTTCTGTGCCAATGTCCGTTAGCATTTTTCGCTCAGGGGTCATTTAGATGCTTCTTATGAGACTTGTGTTTTGTTTTGGTAAACATGGTTTGTATCGTCAATTAGCTGAGATTATTTCCGTTAATCTGGTATAACACATTAATAGGTTCTTAAATATTAAGATCCCCTGAGACACAGTATCGTGAAAACATTTTTTTTTACATTACGTTTTTTATGAATTGAACAACAGAAAAATAATCGTTAGATTAGTCGACTAATCGATCAAATAATCGCCCGATTAATCGGTTTTCAAAATAATCGTTTCCCCCCAGCACTAGTAATCACAGGGGAAGACACAGCTGGGCAGGGGAAGCAGAAACACAAGCAAGGGGGGGGGCAACAGGTGAACACAATGAGACAATCAGACACACCAGGGAAGCTAAAGACAGGAAGGCAGACACAGGGGGTGTTTCTCAATGTCGAGGACGCTTCCTTGGTAGGACGTGTTTTCCGAGTCACTTCCTTCAGAAGCGAATCCTTCCTAGCCTCGGAAAACGAAGAATGGTGGAACAGGCTAACAGGTGTGCAGGTGTGCGTCATATGCGAGGCCCCGCCTTAAATGGAGCGCCAAAGATTTGGAAATTGGTCCGTGCGCAAAGCATTGTGGGGATTTTAAGGCGGCGGAGCAGCCTCGAAATGTCTCGCTACGAAGGACGCCGGGCTCGGTAGAATTCCAAGGACAAGCCTGGACATTGGAACAGTCCTTCGGTGGCACTCGATGAAGTAGCATCCTTGAAATAGTGGCTCTGGAGCATCCTTCCTTGACATTGAGAAACACCCAGGAAGTAGGATCAGACAAGACACAAGGAGGAAAACATTTCAAAATAAAAGGTGGAAAATGAAAACATAAATCCAAAACCATGACAAGATCTGTCCAAAGTTCATATACATATTTTAAATGAGAATAATCTGCTTTTCATTCACAAGCTTTTAGAAACATGAAGATAAAATACAGCAAAGGAATTTAAACCATAGATTAAAAGTTTAAAAATCTTATGTTTGTTCCTTTCGGTACTCGACGTGGTCTGTGTTTTGTTTTATGTTAACCTTAATTTCTGCCTATACTAAATAAACGTATTATTATTAATATCAATGTCTCTCCTCTGCAGGTGTCGGCCACAGATCCGGACCAGGAAGCTGATCAGACCGCGCTACGTTACTCCCTCCATGGCCAGGGCGCCGATGGAGAGTTCACTATTGACGAACGCACCGGGAGAATCTACGCCCAGCGGCGCCTGGACCGGGAGGAGCGAGCGGCCTGGAGGTTCCTCGTCTTCGCCACCGACGAGGCAGGAGCAGGACTCACGGGATTTGCAGATGTGTTGTTGGAGGTCCGAGACGTCAACGACAACGCGCCCTTCTTCCCGTGCCCGGCGCTGGAAGTAGACGGATGTTTTGTCGGACAAGTGCCTGAGAATTCCCCTGCGGACACGTCGGTCATGGAGATGCGCGCCATGGACCTGGATGACGCCAACGAGGGCAAGAACGCCATGATGACCTACAGCATCATCAAGAACGTCCGCAACGAGATTAACCTCAACCTGTTCTCCATCAACGGCAGCAGCGGGACCATCTACACGGTGCTGCGCTCGCTGGACCGCGAGGTGGAGGAGCGCTATCTGGTGGTGGTGGAGGCCAGGGACGGAGGGGGTTTGGCGGGAACGGGAACAGCCACTATCATGATCTCAGACGTCAATGATCACCCACCTGTCTTCACTCAGAGCGTCTATACAACTCAGGTGAGTCCAGCAAGGCCAGGCGGGTTTATTTATATAGAAACGTGTTGCAACAAGGTAACTTAAAGTCTTCTAATGATTATAATGAATCATAAGATAAGATAGGACTGTATTTATCCCGAAGGAAATTATTAGGAATACTCTGTTACAGTAAAAGTCCTGCATTCAAAACGTTCCTCAAGTAAAAGTAGAAGTACTCAGATCTTGTACTTGAGTAAAAGTAGAAGTACCAGAGTGTAGGAATACTCTGTTACAGTAAAAGTCCTGCATTCAAAATGTTACTCAAGTGAAAGTAGAAGTACTCAGATCTTGTACTTGAGTAAAAGTAGAAGTACTCAGATCTTGTACTTGAGTAAAAGTAGAAGTACTCAGATCTTGTACTTGAGTAAAAGTAGAAGTACTCAGGTCTTGTACTTGAGTAAAAGTAGAAGTACTCAGGTCTTGTACTTGAGTAAAAGTAGAAGTACTCAGATCTTGTACTTGAGTAAAAGTAGAAGTACTCAGATCTAGTACTTGAGTAAAAGTAGAAGTACTCAGATCTTGTTCTTGAGTAAAAGTAGAAGTACTCAGATCTTGTACTTGAGTAAAAGTAGAAGTACTCAGATCTTGTACTTGAGTTAAAGTAGAAGTACTCAGAACTTGTACTTGAGTAAAAGTAGAAGTACTCAGATCTGGTACTTGAGTAAAAGTAGAAGTACTCAGATCTAGTTCTTGAGTAAAAGTAGAAGTACTCAGATCTGGTACTTGAGTAAAAGTACCAGAGTGTAGGAATACTCTGTTACAGTAAAAGTAGAAGTACCAGAGTGTAGTAATACTCTGTTACAGTAAAAGTAGAAGTACCAGAGTGTAGTAATACTCTGTTACAGTAAAAGTAGAAGTACTCAGATCGTGTACTTGAGTAAAAGTAGAAGTACCAGAGTGTAGGAATACTCTGTTACAGTAAAAGTCCTGCATTCAAAATGTTCCTCAAGTGAAAGTAGAAAAGTATTCTCATCAAAATATAGTGAAAGTAGCGACAGTGAAAGTAGTCGTTGTGCAGATTGGTCCATTTCAGAATAATATATATGATATGTTTTATAATGATTGATCATGAAAGTGTTCTCAAAGCTGGTGAAGGTGCAGCTAGTTTGAAGTACTTTGTAGACTGCAGGGTAGCTGTGGGTTTACTTATATAGAAACGTGTATAGCAACAAGGCAACTTAAAGTCTTCTAATGATTATACTGAAACATAAGATAAGATAAGACTTTATTCATCCCGAAGGAAATAGTTGAGCCAGAGTTACAACAATACAATAAACACAGCAGCACAATAATAAAACTGTACACTAACAGTGCCGTAAAAAGAGCAATTAAATATCTACAGGAAACAAAGACGGTCATGTAATTAATGTAATAACAAAAGAAGGTAGTGGCAGATACGTAATTGCCCATTCTTATAGAACATTATTAAAAATAATAATATTGCACATGTTATATAGCAGAGAGTGTTTTGTAATGATGGTAGTGGTATTGATATGTAGCATAGTGGTGGTGTGGAAGTTCTCAGTTCCCTTTACTGAACATGATGTACCTCTTTGGTGCTCAGGTGACGGAGGACCTGGAGGTGAACAGCGAGGTTCTTGTAGTTTCCGCCACAGACGGAGACGAAGGAGAGAACGCCGTGGTGACCTTCAGCATCGTCGGCGGGGACGAGGACAGGAAGTTCTTCGTGGAGACGGACAAAGTGAACAAGCGCGGCGTGATCAAACTCCAGAAGATGGTGGACTTCGAGAAGCCCCGTGAGAGGACGTTCAATCTGACGCTGAAGGCGGAAGACGCTGATTTCTTCAGCCTGGCCTACTGTCTCGTGCAGGTGGAAGACTCCAACGACCACGCACCTGTATTTTTCCCTCAATTCTACGAGTCTCCAGCCATGTCTGAAGACGTTCCTGTGGGCACGATCGTTGCTCAGGTAACAGCTTCTGATCTGGACTCGGGACAAAATGGACGTTTTTCCTACAGTATTTCAAAAGAGTCTGACCCCTACAATCAGTTCCTGGTGGACCAGTCCGGTTGGGTGGTGGTGGCCGATTCTCTGGACCGGGAGAAGATCTCGCAGCACAGGATCATGGTGCTCGCCACGGACTCTGGGAGTCCACCATTGACTGGAACTGCCATCGTGGTGGTAACCGTACTCGACATTAACGACAACGGGCCGGAGTTCGAGGTGTCCTATAAGCCTGTGGTTTGGGAGAACATGGCCGCCCCTCAGGCAGTCCGAATGAATGACTCCTCCCTCCTAATCCACGCCACCGACCGGGACACCTCCACCAACGGCGGCCCGTTCTCCATTCGCCTTCTCATGCTCACCTCCGACGCCACAAACTTCAACCTGACGGACTTCCGTAACGGCAGCGCGGCCATCACTGCGCTCCGGACCTTCGACCGCGAGAGACAGAAGGAGTACCGCCTCCCCATTCTGATGATTGACAGCGGCTCTCCTCCAATGAGCTCCACCAGCACGCTCATGGTGGTGATTGGTGACAGGAATGACCACCCTCACTCCTCGGGTCACACCAACTTTGTCGTCTACAGTTATGAAGGTATGTTTGAGTTCGTATTGGACATTCAGCGGTCATGGATAGCAAAAGATGTTGGTATTTTGTTCTGGATTAGAGGTCAGGGTGGGTTCATTGCATTGTTAAAGAAATGATGCCCAATGATGGGTCATAATAATTCTCATTGGAGAACTGGTCAACGCTAGAGTTTTTTAACCTTATTTGGCCAATTTTTTAAGTTCCCAAATGTCCATGACCAAAGCTCTCAGAGGGTCGACACGGTTTATATTAATAATTACATTGATAATACACAGATCAATGTTGCTTTCTCTCTTTGTGCTGGACGTCCATGTGTTTTGTAACTCTGAGAATATGCAGAATATATCTATACCTGATTGAATAGACCTGTTTTACTGAAGAATAGCCAGGACCATGAAGCTCAAGTCTCTTTGCCAGCTGAAAGCTTTTAATGTGAGGAACCAACAGCGGGGAACATTGTGTTTGTATGGGCAGTGATAAGTAAAGTGGTTTCACCCGGATGGATTATCGTACATCTGGTCTTTGTTTCCTCTCTGCTGTTCACAGCTACACGGTTATTTTTTCTTGTACACCTTCATGTATCCAGGAACAGGCTTTGCAGAGTGCTCTTGCTCCTTCATTTCACACCTGAGAGCCTCAAAATCACTACTTTCTTCTTCACTGTAGAAGTTGTCTTGCTCAATGGCACGCTAGCATTAGTGGAACCTGAAGTGACACGAAAGCGTGGATCAAAGGATGAAGATTATATTTTTTGGGGACCAAAAATGTAACTTTTATTGAGTAAAACCACAAATCACACAAGAGGTTAACGTTTTATAACATAGAAATGACAACTAACAACTGGACAACGGCATGGTGGCAAACTATCAATCACAAGGTAGCCCCGCCCTAAAGCATACCCGGCTTCATCTTCAGATGTTCTCTAAATGGGACTGTAATTTACTAAATCAGGAATATGAGCTAATAAATCATGTGAGAAGTTGGGTTTTTTCTCGTAGACTTCTATAGAATTGGAAAGTCCTGCATTCAAAATGTTCCTCAAGTGAAAGTAGAAAAGTATTCTCATCAAAATATAGTGAAAGTAGCGACAGTAAGTACTCAGATCTTGTACTTAGTAAAAGTAGAAGTACTCAGATCTTGTACTTGAGTAAAAGTAGAAGTACTCAGATCTTGTACTTGAGTAAAAGTAGAAGTACTCAGATCTTGTACTTGAGTAAAAGTAGAAGTACTCAGATCTTGTACTTGAGTAAAAGTAGAAGTACTCAGATCTTGTACTTAGTAAAAGTAGAAGTAATCAGATCTTGTACTTGAGTAAAAGTAGAAGTACTCAGATCTTGTACTTGAGTAAAAGTAGAAGTACTCAGATCTTGTACTTGAGTAAAAGTAGAAGTACTCAGATCTTGTACTTGAGTAAAAGTAGAAGTACTCAGATCTTGTACTTGAGTAAAAGTAGAAGTACTCAGATCTTGTACTTGAGTAAAAGTAGAAGTACTCAGATCTTGTACTTGAGTAAAAGTAGAAGTACTCTGTTACAGTAAAAGTCCTGCATTCAAAATGTTACTCAAGTGAAAGTAGAAAAGTATTCTCATCAAAATATAGTGAAAGTAGCGACAGTGAAAGTAGTCGTTGTGCAGATTGGTCCATTTCAGAATAATATATATGATATGTTTTATAATGATTGATCATGAAAGTGTTCTCAAAGCTGGTGAAGGAGCAGCTAGTTTGAAGTACTTTGTATTACTGCAGGGTAGCTGGTGGATTTACTCCAGGTGGAACTAAAGTCTGATTCAACACTTGATTAGATTTCACATCAGTCATCCACATCTGTGAAGTAACTAAAGGTATTAAATACATGTAGTGCAGTAGAAGTACAAAGTAGTATAGCATATAAATACTCAAGTGAAGTACAAGTACCTCAAATTGTATTAAAGTACAGTGCTTGAGTAAATGCATTTTACCCCTCTGGGCTTCACTTTCCAGAACCCTCGATTGACTGTAGTTGTAGATGTCCAAGAGATCATGTGACATTGATCATAGGGCCACCGGTTGGGGGGGGATTGTCTCCGAGGGGCTCCTCTACCCCCCACCGCCTCCTGAGTGCTCGTGTTGCTACGACTCGACTGCTGAAGCCCACATCACTTATTTAGCGCTTCATACCATCTGTCAGCCTCCTGTAATTTTCTGGAGGAACTAAGGTTTTCTGAAATGTATTTTTAGTGGAATCCGTCTCCGGGGCCTTTCCACATGAAAGTGCATTAACCCGCTAATACGAATCCATCACGTAGCTCCACAACATGTCATGAAGCAAACAATTAACTCCGTCTCGAGTCCCAGGTTTGACGGGAACATAAGCAAGAGCCATTTTTAAAGGCAGCTGATTTCACGGCTAAAGAGATTACAGCGTTGAGCTTTTTCTGGAAGACACTGTTTGAGCATTTCTAATGTGTGTACATCATCCCGCTGTGAAACTGTCAAACCATGACCGTGCCCGCCACCTTATCTCCACTTTCTTTCCTTCAATTTCAATATTTGGGTTGTACCGCAGGGATCTTCTGCACTCAGAACTAATTCCTTTCAAAGCCTCTGCTTTTTAAAGAACTTTTCCCGTGTCTTTTACCCCATGACAGGTATTCTCCCGACGACGGTGCTCGGACGAGTTCAATCCCCCGACCTTGATGACTGGAGTGAGAAGGTTTACCGTTTTGAAGGAAAACCCTCCAGGTACTTTGATCTCACATAAGGGGGAAATCTGACATGCAAATCGGGAGTGATGGAGGGGGAGATGGGAAAGTATAAGTTAGGCAGGTGGGTGTTGAGGGCTTTTGAAGGAGAGCAAGGCGACCAGATAGTAGGGTAGACAGGAGACAAGGAGAAGTGGAAAGAAAGGATTTGAGGTGGAAGTAGAGATATGTCGAGAGATTATAAAACTAAGAGAAACACAAGACGTTTTCACACAACAGCAGATTGTCAGATGTGTTCTGGAGCGCTTGGTGACGTTCAGGATTATAAAGCTGGACAACTGTCTCTGTTTTCTTGTCTTATTTGAACAAAGTGGTCACATGACTCCTTCTGATGTCACTGCAGGTCTGCTGTAAGCTAGCTAGCTAACGTAGCTAACCTGTTCATTTCAGATATACTGACAAACACTAACAGCTCTGAGACGACTCTGAGACAGAGACAGTTGTTCAGCTTTATCATCCTGAACGTCACCAAGCGCTCCAGCTGTGTGCGTCACTCTTTAGTGTCCCCTGGTCTCCAGCTGTGTGCGTCACTCTTTAGTGTCCCCTGGTCTCCCAGCTGTGTGCGTCACTCTTTAGTGTCCCCTGGTCTCCCAGCTGTGTGTGTCACTCTTTAGTGTCCCCTGGTCTCCCAGCTGTGTGCGTCACTCTTTAGTGTCCCCTGGTCTCCCAGCTGTGTGCGTCACTCTTTAGTGTCCCCTGGTCTCCCAGCTGTGTGTGTCACTCTTTAGTGTCCCCTGGTCTCCCAGCTGTGTGCGTCACTCTTTAGTGTCCCCTGGTCTCCCAGCTGTGTGCGTCACTCTTTAGTGTCCCCTGGTCTCCCAGCTGTGTGCGTCACTCTTTAGTGTCCCCTGGTCTCCCAGCTGTGTGCGTCACTCTTTAGTGTCCCCTGGTCTCCCAGCTGTGTGCGTCACTCTTTAGTGTCCCCTGGTCTCCCAGCTGTGTGCGTCACTCTTTAGTGTCCCCTGGTCTCCCAGCTGTGTGCATCACTCTTTAGTGTCCCCTGATCTCCCAGCTGAGTGCGTCACTCTTTAGTGTCCCCTGATCTCCCAGCTGTGTGCGTCACTCTTTAGTGTCCCCTACTCTCCAGCTGTGTGCGTCACTCTTTAGTGTCCCCTGGTCTCCCAGCTGTGTGCGTCACTCTTTAGTGTCCCCTGGTCTCTCAACTGAGTGCGTCACTCTTTAGTGTCCCCTGATCTCCCAGCTGTGTGCGTCACTCTTTAGTGTCCCCTGGTCTCCCAGCTGTGTGCGTCACTGTTTAGTGTCCCCTGCTCTACAGCTGTGTGCGTCACTCTTTAGTGTCCCCTGGTCTCCCAGCTGTGTGCGTCACTCTTTAGTGTCCCCTGCTCTCCAGCTGTGTGCGTCACTCTTTAGTGTCCCCTGGTCTCCCAGCTGTGTGCGTCACTCTTTAGTGTCCCCTGGTCTCCCAGCTATTCCTATTCCCCAAATCATCTGTTCCTAGTCCCACACTCCTCTAGTCCTTCATCTCTTTACCGTAGCTTCATCATTTCGGCTTTGTCTAATTAATGCAGCGTCTCACCTTTAAGTGCCTGTGAGAGCTTTACTGTAAACATAACTTCACCTACTAAATATTATAGTTGCTACGTCTGATGAACACATAAAAGACAATCAAACACAACTAAACATAAGAGTGCTTGTCCTCTAACATTCCAGTGTCCAGTAATTGTCCCCTCGTTACTGATGAGGTAGTTTTTTGATGCATGGAGAGGGTGACAGAAGCTCAGGATGTGTCGCAGCTAAAGCAGAGAAGAGTTCCTCTGAACGTGTCCCCTCTCATGTGACACGCAGCATGAAGACAAAGGAAGAAATCAGAGCGCTGCACAGGAGCTGACAGATTCAAACCAGAGAGGAAGAGACAGTACAAGGTGCATCGTGACAAGGAGGAGAAAGGGAAACTGGGACAGAGGCACAGGCGGTTTGAAGAAGGAGTGAAAGGGAATGAAAGGGCAGAGGAGGGAGAGATAGAGAAGGGGATCCGACTTGTCAGGAACAGTGCTATTAATACTTCATAACCAGCCGGATTGAAAATTCCCAGTGAAGCACGGCGCTCGCTTTGTTTGAGGCTTCATGCGCGCGTTGTGAAAGCAGAGCCTGATTGCGCTCCATGCTCCTTCTCCTCTAACGAGACACCTGTAAGGAGGGGCGACAAGAAAAGCCCCGGGAACAAAGGGGGAGCATTACCCGCTGCGTCAGTCCGTGTGCAGCGGGGTTAGGGTGCATGGTGTTTACATACAGAAGGGTTAGGGTGCATGGTGTTTACATACAGAAGGGTTAGGGTGCATGGTGTTTACATACAGAAGGGTTAGGGTGCATGGTGTTTACATACAGAAGGGTTAGGGTGCATGGTGTTTACATACAGAAGGGTTAGGCTGCATGGTGTTTACATACAGAAGGGTTAGGGTGCATGGTGTTTACATACAGAAGGGTTAGGGTGCATGGTGTTTACATACAGAAGCCATAGGGGAGGAGGAGGCAGCCGCTTCAGCAGGACACACACAACCAGAGGAACCAGGCTTATCAGCAGGCAGGCTGACGCGTACCAGGAATTGCACTTGGTGTCGTGGTGCGTGAAATAAAACAACAATTCAAAACACAGATAGAGAACTATTTTAAGAAAACTATAATAACATAAAAAAATAATAAAAAGTATAGCAGAGCTCAGAGCTACATGTTGCAAAAACAGAACGTGTGTTTGAGATGATCTTATCATCTGTTTCCTGTTGGAGAAGTTTGAAATATTTAAACTGTGACATAAATCTGAGAATGCTTACTTGAACCAAATTAATACAAATGGTAATCTATATGTGAATTTTTCTTTGTAATTTGAACTACTTCTCACCTCAGCAGAGGTGAGAAGTAGTGGAGCACAAATACTTTGTTAATGTACTTAAGTACATGTTTCTGGTATCAGTACTTTACTCCACTACTTATTTCTTTCTACTTCTTACATGTTGAACTCAAATACCTGTACTTTCTACTTCTTACATGTTGAACTCAAATACCTGTACTTTCTACTTCTTACATGTTGAACACAAATACCTGTACTTTCTACTTCTTACATGTTGAACTCAAATACCTGTACTTTCTACTTCTTACATGTTGAACACAAAAACCTGTACTTTCTACTTCTTACATGTTGAACACAAATACCTGTACTTTCTACTTCTTACATGTTGAACTCAAATACCTGTACTTTCTACTTCTTACATGTTGAACACAAATACCTGTACTTTCTACTTCTTACATGTTGAACTCAAATACCTGTACTTTCTACTTCTTACATGTTGAACACAAATACCTGTACTTTCTACTTCTTACATGTTGAACACAAATACCTGTACTTTCTACTTCTTACATGTTGAACTCAAATACCTGTACTTTCTACTTCTTACATGTTGAACTCAAATACCTGTACTTTCTACTTCTTACATGTTGAACACAAAATACCTGTACTTTCTACTTCTCACATGTTGAACTCAAATACCTGTACTTTCTACTTCTCACATGTTGAACTCAAATACCTGTACTTTCTACTTCTTACATGTTGAACACAAATACCTGTACTTTCTACTTCTTACATGTTGAACACAAATACCTGTACTTTCTACTTCTTACATGTTGAACACAAATACCTGTACTTTCTACTTCTCACATGTTGAACTCAAATACCTGTACTTTCTACTTCTCACATGTTGAACTCAAATACCTGTACTTTCTACTTCTTACATGTTGAACACTAATACCTGTACTTTCTACTTCTTACATGTTGAACTCAAATACCTGTACTTTCTACTTCTTACATGTTGAACTCAAATACCTGTACTTTCTACTTCTTACATGTTGAACTCAAATACCTGTACTTTCTACTTCTTACATGTTGAACACAAATACCTGTACTTTCTACTTCTTACATGTTGAACACAAATACCTGTACTTTCTACTTCTCTCATTTTCCAAACAGCTGGTTCCTTTAGTCTGAATGTGTGTTTGATGCGTGATCATTATTCTTTAGAGTCATTGCGTGCCTATTGATTTGAACACGATCCGTGTATCCATCATTTCCTGGTCTTCTCTAAAGAAGAGGGACCAATGGAAACGTTGTCATGTTGCCGTTGTTCAGCATGGAAACATTCATTAGCTAACAATGACATTATTGTTCTATTAATATAAAGGGAGGTCAGGTACTCTTTAAAGCAGCTGCTAGTTATGGGTACTTTTTACTGAGTAAAGAAGTTTAGTCATTACTTCTACTTTCACCAGAGTATTTTTAAACACGAGTATCTGTACTTCTACTTGAGTAAAGGATGTGTACTTGTGCCCTCTCCCCCCTCAGGTTGTTCAGTCTGAACCAGAGCTCCGGGGCGCTCAGCCTCAGGGAGGGGGCTCCTCCGGGCTCGTACCTGCTGCAGGTGCTCGTGTCGGACCGAACCTGGCCCGACGTCACCTCCTCGGCTCAGGTGGAGGTGAGGGAGCTGCAGCAGGAGGCGCTGAGCAACGCCGCCTCCATCCGCTTCAGCAGTGAGTCCCACAGTCCTCCACTGCACTGTGTCAAAGAGATGTCGTAGTCAGTATGTCAAAACATCATCAGTGTCAAACGTTTCTGACACGTTTAGTCCAGCAGGATCATCTCCACATATCAACACCACTTCATGATTTCTGAAGTAGAAAGCTAACGTAGGAACTACAGCACATAACGTCACCTTCGCTAAGCTAAAGGGGGAATATAGTGGAAGCAGCGACAGTGAAAGTAGTCGTTGTGCAGATTGGTCCATTTCAGAATAATATATATGATATGTTTTATAATGATTGATCATGAAAGTGTTCTCAAAGCTGGTGAAGGTGCAGCTAGTTTGAAGTACTTTGTATACTGCAGGGTAGCTGGTGGATTTACTCCAGGTGGAACTAAAGTCTGATTTAACACTTGATTATATTTCACATCATTCATCCACATCTGTGAAGTAACTAAAGGTATTAAACACATGTAGTGGAGTAAGAGTACACCATGTACCTCTGAACTGTAGAGGAAAAGTACACAGTAGCAGTACATTGAAATATTCAAGTAAAGTACATTAAACTTGTACTTGAGTAAATGTCCTGTTATTAAGCTAGTGCCCACGTTCCTCCTGCTCTTCAGACCTGACTCTGGAGGAGTTCTTCAGCCGAGGAGGAGTCGAGGAGAGCCGGTTCTCCCGTCTGGGTGGAGTGCTGGCGGATCTCCTGGAGGTTTCACCGGAGAGCGTTCAGATCTTCTCTGTGCGGGAGAGCGGGCCGCGGGGGGGCGAGAAGTCGCTCAGCGTTTGGTTTGTGGCTCGAGGCTCTCCGTACTACAAGAAGGAGAAGCTGCACGGCTACGTGGCCGCACACAGAGCCAAGGTGAGGACGGCTTTATCACACAATACATCCACAACATTCATCTGTTTGCATTTAGCTAATTATTTATCTATATATCAGATTCCATTTACTTGTATTTACTTGCACTATTTGATCTGTTTTATTTGTCCCATATATATATTCATGTTGCTCTGCTGGAGGAGCACTTCAGTTTCTCATTGCCTCATCTACACTGAAGCTGCTGAGCTCATGGTGATAAAGCCTTGAAACTTGAAACATTCAAAATAAAGGGGAAGTCAAAATATGAAGAGGTGAAATAGATCTACAAAATGTATTTTCCTAAAACAATATAAAACATGTTTGCTGTTTAAAAAGTGAACATATTTGAAATAGTAATATTAATGAAGCTTAAATTAGGAGACTCTACAAAACGATGTTCCTTATATGAGACAACACACTGCCGTACTGCCCTGTGAAAGACACAGGGTTTATGAAGCATTCATTACACTCGTTTCAGCCGGCACTTAGCGACACGTAACACACACTGTGAACCATGCCTCACACACACATGAACACACACGCAGCGAGAGCTTCAACGCAGGGTTAAACTCTGAAATGCACACACACACACACACACACACACACACACACACACACACACACACACACACACACACACACACACACACACACGTTAGACTCACTGTAAATATGTGTGTGAATATTTCACATCCATTAAACGCTGCTGACCTGAGGTCAGTGCTAAGAGGGGCAGGAGGGGCAAGACACACACACACTGACACACACACACACACACACACACACACACACACACACACACACACACACACACACACACACACCACAGGGCAAACCATTGGTGATGTTTCCTTAATGAGACTAAAAACTCATTAAGGAAACCAAAGGATCAATAAAAAGGAGGGAATAAATAAGAATAAATTATGTTGTTTGTTTGTTTCTTCAGTTCAACTGCGGGTTGTTTACTTGTGGTTATTTGTTTTAAACATTAGATAGATAGATAGAAGTTATTGTATTTAGTCATAGGCTGGAGTTTGATAGCTGGGTCCATTTGTACACACTCACAGAAATGCCTGCTCAAATACCTAAACTAGTATTTTGTTGGTAAGACTATAAAAACATGTATTAAATATGTCAGAGTAAAAAATAACCACTAATTAATTCATTACAACAATAATTAAAAGTGAGTTTAAGCCCTATTATAGTCGGCCTTTCATATGTTCTAATACAGCCTACAACACTGATAGAAACACTTGAATAAGGAGCTAAAGATAAGTCCTTATGCCGCCGTCTCATTCTGATTTTGAAATAAAAAACGAAAGAAAGTAGGAGTAATAAATCTAGCAGTACAAAGCACACAGAATACAATTTAAAAATAACTTGAACATCAAATGCTGCCGTAGAAAAGTGTCTTTAATTATCTCAGGTTAAAAGCAGATTGAGATTCAGAAGAACGTCAGATCAATATAAAATGAGATGAAGTTTAAACTGAAACCCTGTCGGGGGGGTTTAAGTCACTGTGGATCAAACAGCACAGCTCACACACACCTACACACCTACACACCTACACACCTACACACACACACACACACACACACACACACACACACACACATACACATACACACACACACACACAGAGAGACAGGAAACCCTGAGGGACTCTGATGAAACCTCTCACCTATGGAGACGAGAGAAGACTCAAGAAGACGAGCAGGGGGACGCGTGGATTTGGGGAATAACTGACAGCACGACTTTAACACGGGGAATGACAGAGGAACACCAAAGTGCATAAACAACATTAAAGGGAAAAGAGTTAAATTCCCATTGTACTGACACATTGGATCCTAACGCTGCTGTCATCCTCCATCACGTTCACACAGAGCGCACGGCTTCAGTCGTACTGTAGCCTACTTGTTAGTTTCACTTTTATTATGTTTAAAGTTCAGCCCATGTTTGCTTTTAATGGAAGTTTTACCTTAGGTATTCGTCTGCTGCTTTTTCAATCAGTTTTATTTAACTTTAATCACAGTTTCAGTTAGTTTGAATTAAACGTTTAAACCTGTAGTGTAAGCTTCAGTTACTATGATTATTTTAGTTTTATTTTCAGTTAGCTTTTGTTTCCTTAGTTTTAATGTGAGTTATCTTGTGTTTCAGTTAGCTTGTGTTTCAGTTCCAGTTAGCTTGTGTTTCAGTTTCAGTTAGCCTGTGTTTCAGTTTCAGTTAGCCTGTGTTTCAGTTTCAGTTAGCTTGTGTTTCAGTTCCAGTTAGCTTGTGTTTCAGTTTCAGTTAGCCTGTGTTTCAGTACCAGTTAGCTTGTGTTTCAGTTCCAGTTAGCTTGTGTTTCAGTTTCAGTTAGCCTGTGTTTCAGTTTCAGTTAGCTTGTGTTCAGTTCAGTTAGCCTGTGTTTCAGTTTCAGTTAGCCTGTGTTTCAGTTTCAGTTAGCCTGTGTTTCAGTTTCAGTTAGCTTGTGTTTCAGTTTCAGTTAGCCTGTGTTTCAGTTTCAGTTAGCTTGTGTTTCAGTTTCAGTTAGCCTGTGTTTCAGTTTCAGTTAGCTTGTGTTTCAGTTCCAGTTAGCTTGTGTTTCAGTTTCAGTTAGCCTGTGTTTCAGTACCAGTTAGCTTGTGTTTCAGTTCCAGTTAGCTTGTGTTTCAGTTTCAGTTAGCCTGTGTTTCAGTTTCAGTTAGCTTGTGTTTCAGTTTCAGTTAGCCTGTGTTTCAGTTTCAGTTAGCCTGTGTTTCAGTTTCAGTTAGCCTGTGTTTCAGTTTCAGTTAGCTTGTGTTTCAGTTTCAGTTAGCCTGTGTTTCAGTTTCAGTTAGCTTGTGTTTCAGTTTCAGTTAGCTTGTGTTTCAGTTCCAGTTAGCCTGTGTTTCAGTTTCAGTTAGCCTGTGTTTCAGTTCCAGTTAGCCTGTGTTTCAGTTTCAGTTAGCTTGTGTTTCAGTTTCAGTTAGCCTGTGTTTCAGTTTCAGTTAGCTTGTGTTTCAGTTCCAGTCAGCCTGTGTTTCAGTTCCAGTTAGCCTGTGTTTCAGTTTCAGTTAGCCTGTGTTTCAGTTTCAGTTAGCCTGTGTTTCAGTTTCAGTTAGCTTGTGTTTCAGTTTCAGTTAGCTTGTGTTTCAGTTTCAGTTAGCCTGTGTTTCAGTTTCAGTTAGCCTGTGTTTCAGTTTCAGTTAGCTTGTGTTTCAGTTTCAGTTAGCTTGTGTTTCAGTTTCAGTTAGCCTGTGTTTCAGTTTCAGTTAGCCTGTGTTTCAGTTTCAGTTAGCTTGTGTTTCAGTTTCAGTTAGCTTGTGTTTCAGTTTCAGTTAGCCTGTGTTTCAGTTTCAGTTAGCCTGTGTTTCAGTTCCAGTTAGCTTGTGTTTCAGTACCAGTTAGCTTGTGTTTCAGTTCCAGTTAGCCTGTGTTTCAGTTCCAGTTAGCTTGTGTTTCAGTTTCAGTTAGCCTGTGTTTCAGTTTCAGTTAGCCTGTGTTTCAGTTCCAGTTAGCTTGTGTTTCAGTACCAGTTAGCTTGTGTTTCAGTTTCAGTTAGCCTGTGTTTCAGTTTCAGTCAGCCTGTGTTTCAGTTTCAGTTAGCTTGTGTTTCAGTTTCAGTTAGCTTGTGTTTCAGTTTCAGTTAGCCTGTGTGTCAGTTTCAGTTAGCCTGTGTTTCAGTTTCAGTTAGCTTGTGTTTCAGTTTCAGTTAGCTTGTGTTTCAGTTCCAGTTAGCCTGTGTTTCAGTTTCAGTTAGCTTGTGTGTCAGTTTCAGTTAGCTTGTGTTTCAGTGTCAGTTAGCCTGTGTTTCAGTTTCAGTTAGCCTGTGTTTCAGTTCAGTTAGCTTGTGTTTCAGTTCCAGTCAGCCTGTGTTTCAGTTCCAGTTAGCCTGTGTTTCAGTTTCAGTTAGCCTGTGTTTCAGTTTCAGTTAGCCTGTGTTTCAGTTTCAGTTAGCTTGTGTTTCAGTTTCAGTTAGCTTGTGTTTCAGTTTCAGTTAGCCTGTGTTTCAGTTTCAGTTAGCCTGTGTTTCAGTTTCAGTTAGCTTGTGTTTCAGTTCCAGTTAGCCTGTGTTTCAGTTTCAGTTAGCTTGTGTTTCAGTTTCAGTTAGCCTGTGTTTCAGTTTCAGTTAGCCTGTGTTTCAGTTTCAGTTAGCTTGTGTTTCAGTTTAAGTTAGCCTGTGTTTCAGTTTCAGTTAGCCTGTGTTTCAGTTCCAGTTAGCTTGTGTTTCAGTACCAGTTAGCTTGTGTTTCAGTTCCAGTTAGCCTGTGTTTCAGTTCCAGTTAGCTTGTGTTTCAGTACCAGTTAGCTTGTGTTTCAGTTTCAGTTAGCCTGTGTTTCAGTTTCAGTCAGCCTGTGTTTCAGTTTCAGTTAGCTTGTGTTTCAGTTTCAGTTAGCTTGTGTTTCAGTTTCAGTTAGCCTGTGTTTCAGTTTCAGTTAGCTTGTGTTTCAGTTTCAGTTAGCTTGTGTTTCAGTTCCAGTTAGCTTGTGTGTCAGTTTCAGTTAGCTTGTGTTTCAGTTTCAGTTAGCCTGTGTTTCAGTTTCAGTTAGCCTGTGTTTCAGTTCCAGTTAGCTTGTGTTTCAGTGTCAGTTAGCCTGTGTTTCAGTTTCAGTTAGCCTGTGTTTCAGTTTCAGTTAGCCTGTGTTTCCGTTTCAGTTAGCCTGTGTTTCAGTTCCAGTTAGCCTGTGTGTCAGTTCCAGTTAGCTTGTGTTTCAGTTTCAGTTAGCCTGTGTTTCAGTTGCAGTTAGCCTGTGTTTCAGTTCCAGTTAGCCTGTGTGTTAGTTTCAGTTAGCCTGTGTTTCAGTTTCAGTTAGCTTGTGTTTCAGTTTCAGTTAGCCTGTGTTTCAGTTGCAGTTAGCCTGTGTTTCAGTTTCAGTTAGCTTGTGTTTCAGTTTCAGTTAGCCTGTGTTTCAGTTCCAGTTAGTCTGTGTTTCAGTTTCAGTTAGCCTGTGTGTCAGTTTCAGTTAGCTTGTGTGTCAGTTTCAGTTAGCTTGTGTTTCAGTTTCAGTTAGCCTGTGTTTCAGTTTCAGTTAGCTTGTGTGTCAGTTTCAGTTAGCTTGTGTTTCAGTTTCAGTTAGCCTGTGTTTCAGTTTCAGTTAGCCTGTGTTTCAGTTCCAGTTAGCTTGTGTTTCAGTGTCAGTTAGCCTGTGTTTCAGTTGCAGTTAGCCTGTGTTTCAGTTCCAGTTAGCCTGTGTGTTAGTTTCAGTTAGCCTGTGTTTCAGTTTCAGTTAGCTTGTGTTTCAGTTTCAGTTAGCCTGTGTTTCAGTTGCAGTTAGCCTGTGTTTCAGTTTCAGTTAGCTTGTGTTTCAGTTTCAGTTAGCCTGTGTTTCAGTTCCAGTTAGCCTGTGTTTCAGTTTCAGTTAGCCTGTGTGTCAGTTTCAGTTAGCTTGTGTGTCAGTTTCAGTTAGCTTGTGTTTCAGTTTCAGTTAGCCTGTGTTTCAGTTTCAGTTAGCTTGTGTGTCAGTTTCAGTTAGCTTGTGTTTCAGTTTCAGTTAGCCTGTGTTTCAGTTTCAGTTAGCCTGTGTTTCAGTTCCAGTTAGCTTGTGTTTCAGTGTCAGTTAGCCTGTGTTTCAGTTGCAGTTAGCCTGTGTTTCAGTTCCAGTTAGCCTGTGTGTTAGTTCAGTTAGCCTGTGTTTCAGTTTCAGTTAGCTTGTGTTTCAGTTTCAGTTAGCCTGTGTTTCAGTTGCAGTTAGCCTGTGTTTCAGTTTCAGTTAGCTTGTGTTTCAGTTTCAGTTAGCTTGTGTTTCAGTTTCGGAAGTGAAGAAGGCACACACAGACGGCTATTATTTTTATTTTTCCAGTACCGCACTAAACATGTTTTCGATTACAAGTCGCTATGTGAAACAGTCTGTGATGGACGAGAGTGAAAGTGGAACGCACGCTATTTGTTGTTTGTATATATCACGGTCTGTCTTATGGTTGCCTCTTTTGAATGACGAACACACACTACCGCCACCTGCTGGTAAGGAGAGTTATTGCCACACACGCATGCGCAGTTCGTACGTGCTTCTTGGCCGTCGGCTGAAGTCTTTGCGGTGTGTTCCAGTGCGACTGTTGGCCAAGACGCAGAGACGTGAGGCGACACAACAGTCGGGTCCGTCGGGACGTGTTCTTTGGTGTCAGTTTGGTGTGTCCGGGCCTTTAGGGTTAAAAAAAAAAAGTGCGTATTTATTTAGAGAGACTGAGAAAAACAAAAAAAGTGGCGACAGATAACCCACAAGTAGCATTTATAAAACACCTGAACTTTTGTAAGAACATCCACATAATAAATTATTTATCTAATATATCATATTCCAATTACTTGTATATAGACTCTCCTTGCACTATTTATATTCTATTTTATTTGTATTTAGGCTACTCGCACTATTTTATCTGTGTTATTGTGTTGCTCTGTTGGAGGAGCCTGTGACCTCAGATTTTCATTGATATATCCACACTGTAGCTCTGACACATGACAATAAAAGCCTTGAATCTATACTTTTTTTTACACAAACTTAATATGTTTCTGTCTTCCTTTCCCCCCTGTAGCTGGAGGCCCTGCTGGACGTGTCCATCTCTCAGGTGGGCGTGGATGAGTGTCCCGCCACAGACTGCGCTCCGTCTGGCGGCTGCAGCAGCGAGGTTTCCTTCAGCCAGGTCCCAGTGGCTCTGAGCAGCGGGAACTCCACCCTGGTGTCGCTGTCGGCCTCGTCCTCAGCGCAGTGTGGCTGCCGCGGCCGAGAGGAGGTCCACTTCCCCTGCGCGACATACCCCACGAACCCCTGCCTCAACGGGGGCTCCTGCCAGGACGGACCGCTGGGATTCAGGTAGGGGCATTTTGTATTTTGGTGAACCACTAATGCATTCAGGACGATGTTGAGATTCAACCACGATCAAATGCACGCTGAAGACTCTTTGAGCAGGTTTTCTCTCACTGATTGTGATGTTATGTTAAATGTTTGTTGTTTGTTTTTCATGTATTGTGTCTTGATATTTGTCTCTCAGGTGTAAATGTCCTCCCATGTTTGACGGGCCTGAGTGCCAGCAGACCAAACACAGCTTCGGGGGTCAGGGCTATGCCTGGTTTCCTCCCATCATGCCTTGCTTCCAGAGCCACATCTCCGTGGAGTTCCTGGCTGAGTCGGCCAATGGGCTGCTCCTCTACGACGGGCCGCTCGGCCCCCCCCACTCCCGGGGAGCAGGAGGACTTCATCACCTTGGGTGAGTTTACTGCTGAGGATGCAACAAATATATGAAGTGCACAAGATATCCTTTATTAATGGCGTTAAGCAGTGGTGGAGAAAGTATTCAGATCCTTTCCTTGTAGTACACTGAAAGTAAAGGTTCTGCATGGAGAGTAGATATGTTTTATAATGATTGATCATGAAAGTGTTCTCAAAGCTGGTGAAAGGTGCAGCTAGTTTGAATGACTTTGTATACTGCAGGGTAGCTGGTGGATTTACTCCAGGTGGAACTAAAGTCTGATTTAACACTTGATTAGATTTCACATCATTCATCCAGATCTGTGAAGTAACTAAAGGTATTCAATACATGTAGTGGACTAGAAGTACACCATGTACCTCTGAACTGTAGGGAGAAGTACAAAGTAGCATAACATGGAAATACTCAAGTAAAGTACAAGTATCTTAAAATCGTTCTTGAGTAATAAGTAAATGTACTTTATGACATCACGTCGATGAGAAACGGTTTGAAACGCGGCGTCCCTTTGTTGAAACATTATTTGTAACTTCTAATCTCCCGGAGCTGCTGGGAAACGCTCTCATCAAACACAAAGCTAAATCAATGGAGAAAGTTCCTCTGCTTCGTAAACTCTAATGTCAGCTCCCTGATGTGGCGTTAGCGGATTAGCCTGCACATGGACGCTCTAACGCCGCCGGCATAATCTGGTGGCATTTAAATTATGTAATTATTGAACCCGGTCGTTGATACGTCAGCACGAGAGAGGAAAATCAAACGTGGCTGCAGCATCGATCCCTGCCAGGCCTTTCTACCTTACATGTTCAATAACATGGCAGTGAGGTGGATGGGGTCACACACACACACACACACACGCACACACACAAACACACACACACACACACACACACACACACACAGGATTGACTGAGTTGCAGTTGTTTGATGGGATGCATTAGCTTACACAGCGATACAGAGAATTAGCCAATTGTTTTTGCATTTTAAATAATAATTGATACCAAAATACTCAATAGTCTTGTTGCCAATACTTCTGAGGTTTTAAGCCCACCCTTCTGTCTTCATTCAGAAAAAGGAGCTTCAGTGCCATCAAATTATCTTTTTCCTGCTGAAATGTTCACTTTAAATCTGGGTGGTATCCAAAATCTGATACAGCACCTTTTCTGGTAAATCAATACATTAATAGCCTATTTGGAAAAAACAATTTTTCTGCTAGACATAACAGTAAATCTTGTTATTGTCCCCCCCCCCCCGCAGAGCTGAGGAACGGCGTTCCCGCTCTGAGCGTAAACCACGGATCAGGAACGCTGACTCTGCAGCTCCCGCCAAAATCCAGCGTGAGCGACCGGCGCTGGCACCGCCTCGACATCCTCAGCGACGGGAAGGTGGGTTTCAGATTCCATGGTTCAGTAAACACTTGATATTTGGGAGATAAATCTCACGGGTACAAAACAAAAAGCTAAATAATGCAGAGAAAGTGACAGAGTAAAAGCAGCAGATGTTGTGTTCAGGTGGTGCAGCTGATCCTGGACCAGTGTGGGGGGGTGACGGTGAGCGAGGCGGAGGGGGAGGAGTCCGGCTGCCGAGCGAAGGGGGAGACGCCGGGACACCACAGGTGAGACTTCTATACACGTCATTTGTATTCCCTAAAGGTCTCCTATCATGCTTGTAGCAACCAAAATCACATATAAATAAAACAGATAATTAACTTGCCGCTGAGGCACCAGTTAGCGGAACGTACGCAGGGCAATGATCCAGGTCCAGAACAGACCTTTGATTCCATCCATCATTACACAGGACAGGTTTCCTTCCTTCTTCTTGAGGCTGGAAAAACCCAGGTAAAAAACCATGTGCCTCCGAGTGCTCTGTTCTCTCTTAGTTAACTCTAAGCTGTCTTTGGCTCTTTGCTGCTGTAACAACGTACATTCCCCCTCTGTGAATAAAGGTATTCTGATTCTCGTCCTCTTTCTCTTCCCCCTCAGGTTTCTGAATGTCTTCCAGCCTCTCCAGTTGGGAGGAGTGAAGGAAACGTCTCCTCATCGACGTTACCCGCAGCTTCACGGGCTGCATCCGCAACCTGGTGGTGGACAGCCAGGTGTGTGTGTGTGTGTGTGTGTGTGTGTGTGTGTGTGTGTGTGTGTGTGTGTGTGTGTGTGTGTGTGTGTGTGTGTGTGTGTGTGTGTGTGTGTGTGTGTGTGTGTGTGTGTGTGTGTGTGTGTGTGTGTGTGTGTGTGTGTGTGTGTGTGTGTGTGTGTGAGAAAAATGTACCTCCCAAAATATTGCCAAGGAAAGTCTTCAGCTGCAGTCAAATAGGTCCCAAAATAATTAATTTCCTGTGTGTGTTTTCCTCGCCCGTCCTCAGATGTACGACCTGGCGTCCCCAGGTGAGAGTGTGGACAGCACCCCAGGGTGCCGGCTGACGGACGGGGTGTGTGTGACGGCAGCCGGGCCCTCCTGTGGGCCCCGGGCATCCTGCCTCGCTGACTGGGGCTCCTTCAGCTGCGAGTGCCAGCCCGGGTTCAGCGGGCACAAGTGTGACAGCGGTGAGTCTGTCTGTCTGTCTGTCTGTCTGTCTGTCTGTCTGTCTGTCTGTCTGTCTGTCTGTCTGTCTCTCTGTCTCTCTGTCTGTCTGTCTGTCTGTCTGTCTGTCTCTCTGTCTGTCTGTCTGTCTGTCTGTCTGTCTGTCTCTCTGTCTGTCTGTCTGTCTGTCTGTCTGTCTGTCTTGTCTGTCTTGTCTGTCTGTCTGTCTGTCTGTCTGTCTGTCTGTCTGGCTGTCTGTCTGTCTGTCTGTCTATCTGTCTGTTGAATGGGTTAGTCAGTTTGTTCTGGAAGCTATGGTGTTCTTGGCCAACCCTTTAACTCTGTTTCTCCTTGCTCAGCCCTCCCTGAGTTCTCCTTCGACTCTGGCAGCGTCGTGCAGCTGCAGCTCAGAGGCGGAGGCAGCTCTCGCCGCACAGACGTCCAGCTGCTGCTCCGGACACGAGCCTCCTCCGGCACCTTGCTCTCCATGAGGTCCCGGGAGCCTGACGCCTTCATCGTGTTGGAGGTCAGTGAGAGACCTTAGATGTCACACGCTTTAATACTCAAAAACTGTCTTACACGGGGGCATACATAGAGTTCTGCAGGAGTCTTAGGTCCCAGGCTCCACCAACAGTTTTATTGTGTTGCACTGTTGGAGGAGCCTTTGACCTAAGATGTTCATCGTCATAACTAAACTGTTGCTATGTACGTATGACCAATAAAAGCCTTGAACCTTGGAATGAGTGTTTAAACCCTGAAAGGAGTCAGCATTTCATCACTTCCTCTCACCTGGTCTGGAAATCAATGTTTTTTTAAATGTGTTTTCGGTTGTTATTCTGTTGTTTAAGGTCTGTGGTTTACACGAGCTGATGTCCTACGACATAAAATACATCAGTAAATACCCCACTGGTGAGTTTAAAAACAGAGGTTGCTAACAAGTGTCTAAATGAGACGACTAAACTTCATCACGTCCAACATTAGCCGCCTTTAGCTTAGCGGTGGTGACGTGAAGTCATGTGACCGTGCTGTAGTTCCTTTATAGCCCAACATTAGCCACTTTTAGCTTAGCGGTGGTGACGTGAAGTCATGTGACCGTGCTGTAGTTCCTTTATAGCCCAACATTAGCCTCCTTTAGCTTAGCGGTGGTGACGTGAAGTCATGTGACCGTGCTGTAGTTCCTTTATAGCCCAACATTAGCCACTTTAGCTTAGCGGTGGTGACGTGAAGTCATGTGACCGTGCTGTAGTTCCTTTATAGCCCAACATTAGCCTCCTTTAGCTTAGCGGTGGTGACGTGAAGTCATGTGACCGTGCTGTAGTTCCTTTATAGCCCAACATTAGCCACTTTTAGCTTAGCGGTGGTGACGTGAAGTCATGTGACCGTGCTGTAGTTCCTTTATAGCCCAACATTAGCCACCTTTAGCTTAGCGGTGGTGACGTGAAGTCATGTGACCGTGCTGTAGTTCCTCTATAGCCCAACATTAGCCACCTTTACCTTAGCGGTGGTGACGTGAAGTCATGTGACCGTGCTGTAGTTCCTTTATAGCCCAACATTAGCCACTTTTAGCTTAGCGGTGGTGACGTGAAGTCATGTGACCGTACTGTAGTTCCTTTATAGCCCAACATTAGCCACTTTTAGCTTAGCGGTGGTGACGTGAAGTCATGTGACCGTGCTGTAGTTCCTTTATAGCCCAACATTAGCCACCTTTAGCTTAGCGGTGGTGACGTGAAGTCATGTGACCGTGCTGTAGTTCCTTTATAGCCCAACATTAGCCACCTTTAGCTTAGCGGTGCTGACGTGAAGTCATGTGACCGTGCTGTAGTTCCTTTATAGCCCAACATCATCCACCTTTAGCTTAGCGGTGGTGAAGTCATATGACCGTGCTGTAGTTCCTTTATAGCCCAACATTAGCCACCTTTAGCTTAGTGGTGGTGACGTGAAGTCATGTGACCGTGCTGTAGTTCCTTTATAGCCCAACATTAGCCACCTTTAGCTTAGCGGTGCTGACGTGAAGTCATGTGACCGTGCTGTAGTTCCTTTATAGCCCAACATTAGCCACCTTTAGCTTAGTGGTGGTGACGTGAAGTCATGTAACCGTGCTGTAGTTCCTTTATAGCCCAACATTAGCTTTTTACTTCATAAATCAAAGTGGTGTTAATATATGGAGATTATCCTGCTGAACTAAACGTGTAAGTATCATAAACGTTTGTTTGACACAGATAATTTTCTGACATAATCCAAAATCACATGGAGAAATCCCATTGGTCCATGGAGATGCTGCCTTCAGGGACCAACACAGAAATTGGACAAACTGTGCAAAATCGTATGAACGGACTCTGTTCTTCTCTTCAGATCTCGGAGGGTCTGCTCTCGGTTCGTGCTAACCTCGGTGACGGCGTCCACTCCCTGCGTCTCCCCGAGCAACGGGTCGACGTCGGACAGTGGGTGCTGGTCGGACTCAGTCGCCATGACAACCTGTTCACCCTGCGTCTGGAGCAGGGGGGCGGGTCGAGGGAGGCCCGGGCCCAGCTGGGGGGTCGGCGGGAGGTCGAGGTTCACAGCCTGACGCTCGGGAGCGACGAGGCCGGCTTTCAGGGTGAGACTCCATGCTTTACATCGGCTAAAATCCAACAAAAAGACAGTTCATAAAAGAAGTAGAAATTAGTTAAAAACATACTTTTGTTAGAAAACTCTCCCTGGTCCCCGGCTTGAGCTTCAGCCTCAGGATCCATGTATCTGTGATCCTCTCCAGAATGGAAGGAGTCATCACATACAGAGCATCAACTAGTTCCTGAACAGTGTCCTTCACATGCTGATATCCAAGAGAGGGAGTTACACAGTCACAAGATGGAGGAACAGAAAGCAGTATTCAATGTTTACTTCAGATTAGCTCCACGTCAGAAATGAGCATGCTTGATGTCTCTCTCCATAGAGGCTGAATCATCATGTTAATCACATAGCTATCATCTGCCTCAAACAGTCCTGATGCTCTTCTAGGTAATCACACATCCTGTCATGTTCACAGCTACAGTTGATACCTTTGTTATCATGTTACTCTCATGTTGGAAGAGGACATTCAGTGTTTTCACAACAACTTTTAAACTCTTTTCTTTCTCTCCCTTGATCCACCTTAGCAGCGGTGTGTATTAATAACTCCGCCCTAATTGACCAATCAGAATCGAGTATTCATGTAACTATTTATATAAATAGTTATCACCGCAATAAACCGTATTTAATTGTGTCTTAATGTACAATATTTAATGTCATATTCTGTTGACATGTATATAGACTTCTTGCACTATTTTTAGTTTTTGTATTTTATTATGTTGCATTGTTGGAGGAGCTCAGGACAGAAGAGTTTCATTGCCATTTCTACTCTGTAGCTTATGAGCATGTGACAATTAAACCTTTGAATCTTGAAAGCCATGTAATACACACATGAATCAAAGCAGACCTTTCCTCTCCCCCTGCAGGCTGCCTGAGGGACGTTCGCTTTAACGGCCAGCTGCTCCCTCTGGACGGGCAGAGCCGGGACACGGTGACGGTGCTGCAGCGGGGGGGCGTCACCGCGGGGTGCCCCAGCGACGCCTGCAGGGGTCAGCCCTGCCGCAGCCCGCTGACCTGCACCGACCTCTGGAGGAAGCACCAGTGCAGGTGACACTTCTTTCTTTCTTGCTCCTGCATGATCTGTTTGGTATTTTGAGCAAAACACTTCATAGACAAGTTTTTTATATATTTGTATCTGAGACCTATAATGAATGCCTAAAAATAATATAATAGGAGACCTTTAATGTAAACCTACTTGGTAATAACCCTGTTTCCGGTGTTCTCCCAGGTGCCCCGGCGGTCAGCTGACGGTGACGGAGGCCTCGGGGCAGCAGCGGTGCGCGGCGTCGCCCTGCGCTTCCACTTCCTGTCGTAACGCCGGCGTGTGCCAGGCGCTGTCGCCCGACGCGTTTCGCTGCCGCTGCCTCGACGGATTCGGGGGGCAACGCTGCGAGCTGGGAGCGGTCAAAGGTCACCGCCTCGCTGCCCTCAGCCCCAGCTCCATCCTCGCCATCAGCATGTGTCTGCTCGTCTTCTTCGGTGAGACAAAACTAAGTACATTCACTCAAGTGCTGTACTCAAGACATAGTCATTTACACTGAGAGGTGGGAAGTAGTGGAGTACAAATACTTTATTACTGTACTCAAGTACATTCTTCTGGTATCAGTACTTTACTCCACTACTTATTATCACTTATTATAAAAGTTTAGAAAGAAAGTAATAAACGTGAATACAATATAACAGTAACATTTAAATACAAAATACTAAGACTACATTTCCCATCAGCCCTATCACCTCCTGCTCTCTCTAAAATATAATATATCATTGAGGACAAATGACTCCAAAGAGCTGCTGCAGAAATGTACAGGAAGGAAACTAAATATTAATACTGTGTGTGTGTGTGTGTGTGTGTGTGTGTGTGTGTGTGTGTGTGTGTGTGTGTGTGTGTGTGTGTGTGTGTGTGTGTGTGTGTGTGTGTGTGTGTGTGTGTGTGGTGTGTGTGTGTGGTGTGTGTGTGTGTGTGTGTGTGTGTGTGTAGTGTGTGTGTGTGTGTGTGTGTGTGTGTGTGTGTGTGTGTGTGTGTGTGTGTGTGTGTGTGTGTGTGTGTGTGTGTGTGTAGCCGTGCTGGTTGCAGTGACGGTGTGGAACCAGAAAGGAAGCCGTAACAAGTTCAGAAAGCGCGGAGTTTACCACATCCCCGCCGAGCACGAGAGCTGGGAGGACATCCGGGAAAACATCCTGAACTACAACGAGGAGGGGGGGGGAGAGCAGGACCAGGTACACACACACACACACACACACATTTATATGTAACTTACTTCAACAGTTTGGCAATACTTGAAAGTAGAACATGTAATGGATACACAGACAGAAACAGAAGGTTTACTAAATTACACATACTGTATTATGCTCATTTTTAGTGGTTGTGATTGGTCGACCTCTTAGAGATGTCCCGCCCCTTTAGCCTATCTTACAATGTGTTGGAACGCTAGCCAATAGAAGCTCTAGTGTTCCTTAGTGATGTCACTATGTTCCCGGAAGTAAACAAAGGAGTCCAATGGGGACTCTGCCTTCAATTTCTGATTAAAAATATTCTAATTTAAATAAAGTCTATCATTAAAGGTCACCTATTATGCAGAATCCACTTTTTCATGTCTTTGATTTTGGCTACTTTGTGATGTCATAACGATGTGTTGTCTTGTGTAACCATTAGACAATCAGCAACCAAGGTAACCCCCCCCCCCCCTTATCACCTGAATCTCCTCCTAGAGCTCCATTGAGTTCTTTGTAACCAAATGTCTCTCAGAGGGGCGTGGGGAGGGGCTCCTTGTTTTCATCTAAAGTAACAGACAGAGAATCAGCACTTTGGAAACAGGGCTGAAACAGAGGGCATTATGGGTAATGCTGCAATGATCTGTTTGGTGTTAAGGAAAGGTGTATTACTTTCTCCTGCAGAACGGATACGACATCTCGGAGCTGAAGCGCCCGCTGGGCTCCAGCCTGTCTCAGTCCTCCTCCGGACCCCTCATCAAGTCCTCCAGCCAGGAGGAGGTGAGTACCACAGAATGAGTCAGGTGGAAAGTAACTGAGTACATTTACTCAAGTACTGTACTTAAATACAATTTCGAGGTACTTGTACTTTAGTTGATTTCACTTTTATGCTACTGTGTACTTTTCCTCCACTACATGTATTTAATACCTTTAGTTACTTCACAGATGTGGATGAATGATGTGAAATATAACCAAGTGTTGAATCAGACTTTAGCTCCACCTGGAGTAAATCCACCAGCTACCCTGCAGTATACAAAGTACTTCAAACTAGCTGCACCTTCACCAGCTTTGAGAACACTTTCATGATCAATCATTATAAAACATATCATATATATTATTCTGAAATGGACCAATCTGCACAAAGACTACTTTCACTGTCGCTACTTTCACTATATTTTGATGAGAATACTTTTCTACTTTCACTTGAGGAACATTTTGAATGCAGGACTTTTACTGAAACAGAGTAATCTCCTACACTCTGGTACTTCTACTTTTACTCAAGTACAAGATCTGAGTACTTCTACTTTTACTCAAGTACAAGATCTGAGTACTTCTACTTTTACTCAAGTAGACGATCTGAGTACTTCTACTTTTACTCAAGTAGACGATCTGAGTACTTCTACTTTTACTCAAGTAGACGATCTGAGTACTTCTACTTTTACTCAAGTACAAGATCTGAGTACTTCTACTTTTACTCAAGAACAAGATCTGAGTACTTCTACTTTTACTCAAGTACAAGATCTGAGTACTTTTACTCAAGTACAAGATCTGAGTACTTCTACTTTTACTACAAGATCTGAGTACTTCTACTTTGACTCAAGAACAAGATCTGAGTACTTCTACTTTTACTCAAGTACAAGATCTGAGTACTTCTACTTTTACTTGAGTAACATTTTGAATCCTTCTAAATGTCTGTTTCTTCAGGTGCACCCGTCAGGTTCTTCCTCCAGTTCAGGCGCTCCGTACCTCAGCATCCCCCACCACCACCACCACCACCACCATCACAACCCCCCCCCCCTACCAGCACGCCACCTACAGTGACTTCGCCCCCCCCACCTTCGCCCCCTCTTGCTCTCACGGGGACTTCCAGAGCTACGTGGCGAGGATCCTGTGGGAGGCGGACAGCGACGGGGGGGCGCTGCCGCCGGACGCCCTGCACTTGTGGAGCGTGGAAGGCTCGGGGTCCGGGGCGGGGAGCCTCAGCTCGCTGGGGTCCACGGCCAGGAGCAGGAGGGAGGAGGAAGAGGAGGAGGGAGGGTTTGCGGACGAGAGACTGTCTCGATGGGGCCCAAAGTTCCAGGCTCTGAGCGAGATGTACGACCGACCCCAGCTGGGACTCACACACAGAGACGCAGTGACCCACATCCAGAGGGGCCACAGCCGAGACCCCCTGCCTCTCCACCACTAGGGGGCGCTACACAACACCACCCAGGGATGTCTTATGTCTTATTGGACCCTGAAGGCAGCGTCTCTCTCTGGTTCCCTCCACTAAAAGCTGATAGGATTTTTACGTTGGGTTTTGGATTATTAGTCTAGTTGCCATAATTAGTTTCAAATAACACAAACAAAAAGTTAGTCAAATTTGAATATAAACATACATTTCAACATTTTGGAAATATTAGGTCAATATGGTATTCCTAAAACAACAATATTGTGACTGCAAACTACATTTATCTGATGTCAGACATGCAATACAGTTAATATTAAAAAAGTCCTGCGAACTTATCAACAGTTGGAAACTCCTGTGTGGGTGCTCATTGGGCCTTGAAATCTGATTGGCTGTGCCAGACTCCAATTCAAAAATGCTCCGTCCTGATTGGCTGCTGGCCCGATAAGAGGCAGGACTTAACAATCAAACGGTAACATGTTCAGTGACTGAGCTAACTGATGCTAACGACACGTCTACAGTTTAAAATCACACTTTCATTCATTAGTAATCATCCAAAAATATTTTAAAACCTTTTTAAGTTCTTATTTTTGGTGTATTTATTTATTCGAAATTCATTCCACACGTTTTTTAGCAATAAATGAACCTCTAAAATGTCAGAAAACCGTGAACAGTGCAGATGTTAACGGCCCAAAACCGAGAAGTCAAGTTAGTTCATCGACAGACAAATAGTTTCTGATGCAAAACAGTCACAAAATGCTGTTTTCAGCCCGTCAGAAACATCATATTAACCTTTTACTGTTTTCTGATATTTTATAAACCAAATCATGAAAGTAAATGTTTGTTGCAGTTAGTTTTAACATTTCTTAAAGGTATTTATCATCACAGAAGACAAAGAAAAGGAGTGTTTTTGCTGAAAAGTGTAAGGAATAACAGCTGTGTTATCCCGAAAATGGCCAAATGCTTACATGGAAACGTTGACACCCTGAACACAAGGACACCGATGGCTCCGATGAGTCTTACCAGCACACAGGAACATGCCATCTTTATTTATTTACTTTAGATGTGCTGTGTTTATTTCATCTTTTGTGGGCCGCTTACTTTTACTCTGAAAATATGGATTTCCAGAGTAAAAGGTCCCTTGGCTTTTCCCGCACTTTGACCTCCAAAAAAACAGTGAATTTCCAGCTTTGTATTCCTCTTTTCTAGCTTCCTGTTGCAGGATGAGTCAGAGGTTAAAAAAACAACCTCGATATGTAAAATAAGATTTGATAGTTTTCAGATGAGATTATTTTTGTACTCCCCTGTAGAAACTTCCCAGAATGCTTTGCGTCGTGTTATTAGCGTGCAGTGGCGTCACTTTGAGTCTTTGTCGTGTTCAGACGGTGGAAATTAAAGATGTATTGATGAGAAAAGCACAAAATAAATTCACATTTCTTCGACATGTTCAGATTTCAGAGCACAGACGTTTAGAGGAAGCGTAAACAGAAAATATATATATATAAAAAAAAGGTTTTTATCACATAATAGCAGAATATTTGAGATCATAACAAGTCCCATAACAGTTTAAATAACGCCCATGTCTGTAATTCATTGTAATGTCCTCATAGCACTCTACAATGATTGTTACAAGCACTCGAAAATATAGCTAACGTCACTCCCGGTCAAAATTACGGCCCGAACACTTTCAGGTGAAAAAAAGTGGGAAACAATAGTGTCTTCATGTGTACACACTGTACAGGAAGAAGAATGAAGTGCGCCCCTAAAGAACTGCTCTCTGCATCCAAGTGGGAAAACACAGGTGTCTTCTTCTGAACCGATGTGCAGCTTTCTTGAGTTGTTAGTGTGAATCCAGGCTGGTGTCTGTGTGTGTTGTACATGTTGTACATATGGACGTTTTATAGCAACCTAACATGGAGTATTCCTTTTGTAAATGACTTTTAATAAAAAATGGCTTTTCCCCAAAACGAGCTTTTTCTGAGATTCGCATTCTGATTTTAAAATAAAAGAAGAAATGTTAGTTCTTGTATTGGGGCACTGCTGGGACAACAGTGCCACCGTGTGGTGAACTGAGGTAACTCACAGCATTTTAAATGTCTGTCTATTTTTTCAGGAGAGAAATCTATCAAACCAGACTTTTAGATTTAAACTGTCTTAAAGGTCACCTATCATGCTATAGGTCTCAGAAATATAAAAATATATTAAAAACATGTTTTGATCAAAATACCAAACAGATCACCCATTCTAGCCTCATACTTCCTGTCTCTAAAGTGCTGATTTGGGTATAAAGCTTTAAAGAGGAGGGTCTGAGCTCATGCGGGACCCGGCAGCTACTGTCTAAACTAAATGCTGCCGTGATGAAACGCCATATCATGGATTATCAAGGATTCTCTCTGAAACAGTATGGAGCTCAAAGGCTTTCTCTCTTGCCGGTTATACCACAAGGTGAGTTCCTTTTTACTTCCTGCTTCTTCACACACATGCTCTCCAGCACAGGTTAGCTCTGAGTGTTAGCGATGCTAATGTCAACACCGACCATATTACGTCCAAAACAGTCGGGCATTGTTTCTGATAGCAACGTTTCTGATTGGGCCGTGGGTCCACATTTCAGATATTACGTCATATCGGACGCAAATCTGGATCAGCTCCGTTGTTCCCCGTTTTTAGAGATTTGGGTACGGAGGAAAAGAGAGAGGGGTTTATTTTCTGACGCTGCGTGAGTTCCCCGACACACCGGGGACACACGGTGATGGAGAGAAGACATCACAAAGTGCATTTTGCATGATAGGTCCCCTTTAAGTATTTGCAGAGGAGGGAGAAGTACTCAGATCATCATGATACAAAAAGATTACATAGCTGATGAAAAACTAATAAAGTTATGGCATATTATGTGGAAAATATGCAATAGATTAGTTTGTAGTGTATGTTGGATGTAGAAAAGTCTGTCGTTACGTCATACCAAATCATTTCATTTATTTCAAACATTCCCATATAAAAGAAAACACATTTCTGAATTGCACTATTTACACAAACATTCACATCTCCAGGCGTCTGCTGCAGGTTCCACTCACAGCTCATCCAAAGGCACTGAGGACAGGCAGAGCCATAAATACATGTTGCCTTCTGGCGGCATCACTGAAGGACTCCTTTATTCTTTGTACATATACACAGACATCTTGTTTTTACAGACTAAGGCTTATCAATAAATACAAGCACTTAAAAAAATGAATAGCAGAAGCGCTGCAGCATCGCAAGCCGTTCTCTTATCGAGTCAAGTTTCCCAGGAATGTAACAAGTGTGCAACCAGGTTGAATAAAGATTAAGAAAAGGGATGATTGAGCGTCCGGTGTCAAACAGCAGCTAAAGTGTCTGGTTGATCTCATGGCTCACAATGCAGTTCATTCCTAACGGGGGGGGGGGGGGGGGGGGGGGGGTTAAATACTTTACCCTCTGTAGTTCAGAGCAGAATGAAATGTATATTCAAGTTTCCCCATTTCGGAAAAAGCACCAGATAAATACCCGACGTTTCCACTCCAACATGACGTTAGATTTAAAACAAAGCACAGCGTTCCACTTGTCCACGGCGGGAACAGGTGGAGGCAAACATTCACATTAATTAATCTGTCAATTAAAAGTTGCCCAATAATTCCTGTTTAAAAACAAATGATTTAAAAAGCAGACGGACAGGAATCAGATCCAGATTTAGTGTTTAAAATAATGAAAACGTGCTACATGAGGTCTCTTAAAATCCGTCTCACTGACGAGTCGAACACTGTACGGAGGGGCGCGTCCTCTTGGTCGCGTGCTGTTCATTGATTGGCCAGTTTCTCTGCGCTGCTCAGTGATTGGCCGGCTTCTCTGTGCTGCTGGGAGGAGTCAACACCGTTCCCACGGCGACGGGCGACAGCTGACACTCGGGGCTGTCCGGGCGGTCCAGAGATTTCCTCTGCAGAAACACACCAGCGTGAGTTATTACTAGCTTTGACCAGAGATACTGAATACTGCCCTTTATTTTGGGAGCCATTTCATTTACAATCCCCAAAAACACATCCTGTTTGCATTAATAAAGCTTTTATTCTATTAACTATCCTTAAAAATCTAATTTCGCTCTCATTACGTAATGTACATCCTCAAAAACACATCCCGCTCTTATTTTGGTAGCTTCTGTTAATAACAAGCTTTAAAATCACATCCTTATCTGCTCTTATTTTGGAAATCTTATACACAGTAAACCATATTTACCACGCTCTTATTTTGAAAATAACCCAGAAAAACCTCCCAACCAGTCAAACCGTATTAACCTCACTCTTATTTTGGAAAACCTCCCAACCAGTAAACATATTTTCCCAGCTCTTATTTTGGAAACCTCCCACCCAGTTAACCGTATTACCCCACTTTTATTTTGACACCTATACTTTGAACCGCGCTCTTATTTTGAAAACCTCCTAAACAGTAAATCGTAATGACCCCGCTCTTATTTTAGAAATCCTCTACACAGCGAGACATTTTTATCCCCCTCTTATTTAGAAAAACCTCCCGCCCAGTAAACCGTATTTACCCCACTTTTATTTTGAAAACCTCCTATACTTTGAACGGCATTAACCCGCTCTTATTTTGAAAACCTCCTACCCAGTAAACCTTGATAGCCCCGCTCCTATTTTGGGGAAAAACCCACCCAGTATTTACCCCACTCTTATTTTGAAAACCCTTGTTGAAGCCGCGTGGTGCGTTGGTTTTGCTCACCAGCAGGTCCAGGTAGGCCACGTGTGTCTGGATGTTGTGCCGCGCATCAGATTTCACTTTGGGGAAGTTCTTGAGTTGAGGTTTGGTTTGAGTCCGCAGCGTGTCCATGAAGCGACTCATCCATCGCACACAGGGAGCCACGGAGTCCCACGTCAGGCCTGACACACACACACACAGAGAGAGACACACACACACACACACACACACACACGTTAGGATACGGAGTCAAATATACCCAAACAGTAGGTATACATTAATGTAATTCACTGTATAAAACAAACTGAAATGGACTAAATACAAACTACTTTAACTATTAAAACGTAAGCATCGGTTATAATATACAAATAAATCATATTTCGGATGTGTAATTATGTAGATCGTTTTACACGTTCGAAATAAAATCGAAATAAAATCAGTCTTCAATCTTCAGTTTTAAATCAGACGTCCAGGTGGAGAAATCAAACTCACCTGAGACTTTATGAACAACGTCGAACGAGGAGAAGTGGCAGAATGCGGCGGCGGCGAGAACGCAGTAGCTGTAGTCCAGAGAGTTGATGTCCAAGATGCAGAGGTCCAACAGCTGCAACACACAGACGCGTTACTAACACAATAAGAGAGCAGAGATGAGACCCTGACATGACTCAGCGTTTTAGCACTTCCTGTCTGGAGGTCAACGGATTTCTGAACACGTTTTTGGTTGTTAGCCTGAAATAAAGTCTGTGGTTAACACAAGCTGAAGAGATTTGTATTCTACGACAAACACGTCAGTAATTACCCCATTGGTGGAATTAAACTAACAAGTGTCTAAATGAGACGCCTAACATTAGCCACCTTTAGCTTAGCGGTGGTGACGTGAAGTCATGTGACCGTGCTGTAATTCCTTTATAGCCCAACATTAGCCACCTTTAGCTTAGCGGTGGTGACGTGAAGTCATGTGACCGTGCTGTAGTTCCTTTATATCCCAACATTAGCCACCTTTAGCTTAGCGGTGGTGACGTGAAGTCATGTGAACCGTGCTGTAGTTCCGTTTATAGCCCAACATTAGCCACCTTTAGCTTAGCGGTGGTGACGTGAAGTCATGTGACCGTGCTGTAGTTCCTTTATAGCCCAACATTAGCCGCCTTTAGCTTAGCGGTGGTGACGTGAAGTCATGTGACCGTGCTGTAGTTCCTTTATAGAACAACATTAGCCACCTTTAGCTTAGCGGTGGCGACGTGAAGTCATGTGACCGTGGTGTTAATATGTGGAGATTATCCCTCTGAACTAAACGTGCAAGTATCCTAAACGTTGAGATTATTTTCAGCAATAATCCGAAAGGAGAAATCCCATTGAACCAGGGAGATGCTGCCTTCAGGGTCCACTACAGAAATACGACATCTCGGTATCAAGCCGTGTGGAAGTGTTGCAGGTACCTGTGTGATCTGGATGTATGTTTCCTGAGAGAACTGCGGCACCAGGAAGTTTTCTCCGTCCGCCTGCGCCTCCACCTGAGCGTAGAGCTTCAGCCACGAGATCGGAGTCTCCGGACACAAGTTCCAGTTCAACGCCTGCAACACGAACACAGGTCAACACACTGAGACGGGTGTTTGCATTTTACGGACATTAATACTTATGCTGGAATACAAAAACAACTAGGAGTTTAATTTGTTTGTAAATGAAGTAGTTTCTGCTGATGGACATCAAAGCACTGCTAAAAACTGCTCGTCACTGTAAAGTATTTCACATGAATTATGTGACCGTCCTCCTGTAGATATTTAATTGCTCTTCTTACTGCACTGTTAGTGTACGGTTGCTATGTATTGCTATGCTGCTGTGTTTATTGTATCTCTGGCATTACAATTCCCTCGGATGAATAGAGTCTTATCTTACAGCCTTGAACTAAAAAGCAGCGGATGCAGTTCATGAAAAGGTTTTTTTCAATAAGCGCACCTTCAGTATGTGCAGCTCAGTGCGCTGGATGTCCCAAAAATCACACGCTCCGTCCGTGACGTAGGCGAAGTCTAAGATTTTAGGAGGGTAGATTTCCTGCAGAGATCAGAGGAACAGCAGAAATGATAAACAACACAATGAGACTGAGATGTTACTGAGGGGCTTTGAGTGAGTATATCAAAAACTAAAGACTATAATAAATATCGTAACTTGTATGTCATCAAAAGGGTCCGATAACAATATGAAACTCTTTAAAATGATGTGCTTTGTTAGTTTCCACCACTGGGATCTGACACTA